GAACAAAGATACACGCTACAAATACACATAATATCCAAATAACTGTAGCATTCAAGAAATTGAATGAACAAACATAAAAATAAAACACCATATACAGTACATTTCACTGTGTAAATAATACATTGATTATTTTTAAATCAACTGTAATAAAGTTCTTCAGTCAAGAGCAGTGAATGATTTTTCTCTTTGTATTTTGTTGTTTCATTAACATTAAAGGGATAGTTCACCCAAAAATGAAAATTCTTTTATTAATTACTCGCTCTTTAACCTGAATTACTTTCTTTCTTCTGTTGAACATAAAAGTTATTTTGAAGAATGTGGGTAACCAAACAGTTGCTGGTCCCAAGTGACTGCCATGGTATTGTTTTACACTACTGTCAACGTCAATGGGGACCAGCAACTGTTTAATTACCCACATTCTTCAAAAATATCTGCTTTTGTGTTCAGCACAAGAAAGAAATTAATAAAGGTTTGGGACAACATATGAGTGAGTAAATTATGACAGAATATTTTTTTTGGGTTAACTATTCCTTTATTGATAAGCGGCAGTATGTTTAGTAGTCTACTCCAGTGTTTCCCAACCTTTTTTCAGTCATGGCACCCTTTGAAATTTAAAAAAAATGTGTGGCACCCTACACAGACACTAATGCTAGACAGTCCCCCTCCAGACCACCACACACACTCAATTGAAAATGACTTACTTTCAATGGGAAACCTCAGCCTGGGATGATGCACACAGCTTATTTCTTAGGCTAGAAAAACTCAGTTCGCACAAATAGGTTGTGGAAAATGGCATCAGAACTTCAATGGCACTGTTTGCAACAACTGGATATTCTTTCTCCTCACTTATCCAAAAACTGTCCAAAGCCATGTCTTGAAATTTCATTTTTAAACTGCGGTCTTCCCTTAGTTCCGTGACTTGTTCTTGTACTTGCAGTGGCATGCGTTTTGAACTTTCCAGTCCAGATGAACTCCAAGGATCAAGGACCCAGTCAAATTCATCATTAGTCTCAGATGGAAAATAAAAGCTGAACCTCTCCTCTAGGATTTTAAGATGCTGGGCGATCAGCTCAGGGAGTTTGCTGTTTGAGCGTGCATTGCACAACGGAAACATATCAAGTTGGCCCTGTTCAACAAAAGAGCGCCAGAGGGCGAGCTTGGACCTGAAGCCTCGCAACTTGTCGGTAGAAATGAGAATATTTTTATCTTTGCCTTGCATTTTTGTATTCAGGTCATTGAGATGCTTAAAAACATCTGCAAGATATGCAAGTTTTGAACACCACTCCACGTCTGAAATTAACTCTACACATCCTGAGTTCTCCTGGATGAGAAATGTTTTTACCTCTTCCCTCAGTTCATATACACTCTTAAAAATAAAGGTGCTTCACGATGTCATAGAAGAACCTTTTTGTCTAAATGGTTCCATAAAGAACCTTTAACATCTGAAGAACCCTTCTGTTTCACAAAAGGTTCTTTGTGGCAAAATAAGGTTCTTCAGATTACAAAAATGTAAGAAAGAGATGGTTCTTTAAAGAACTTTTGACTGAATGGTTCTTTGTGGAACCAAAAATGGTTCTTCTATGGCATCGCTTGAAGAACCTTTTGAAGCACCTTTATTTTTAAGAGTGTACTCGTGCCAAATCCTTGCCGCGTGACAGCCATCGAACGGCCGTGTGTAATAACAAGCTCTGATATTCCGCTCCCATTTCCTCACATACAATCGAAAATAGACGGCTTTTCGGTGTGCGTGCCTTCATGAAATTAACTATATCTTAAATTAATTATGTCCAGTACATCAGAGAGTTCCTTCGGGAGCGTCTTTGCTACCAGTGCCTCCCTATGTAAAAAACAGTGAGTGGATTTCAATTGTGGGTTTTGTGCTCTGACTCTGCTAATGAAGCCCTTCGTGCTCCCCGTCATAGCAGCGCCCCCATCAGTACATACACTGAGACAGTCCTTCCAATTCAATCCCCTTTGTTCAAGATACTCTGTCGTCACACGATATATTTCTTCTCCCGTTGTTTTGTCAGGCATTGCTTTACAAAATAAAAAAGTTTCTCGAATGCGGTCACCGTCTACAAAGCGAACATTTGCCAAGAGCTGAGCGAGCCCACTAATATCAGTTGATTCATCCAGCTGCAAGGAAAATTTCCCACCGGATCTGATTTTTTCCAAAACCACACTTTCAATGTCTGATGACATGTCATTTATTCGCCTACCAATTGTATTGTTTGACAGGGACACCTTTGATATTTCTTTCTCAGCTTGTGGACCTAGCATGGTGTTAACGATGGCTTTGCATGCAGGCAAGATTGCGGTCTCAGCGATTGTGTGGGGCTTTTTCGATTTGGCTACTATTTCGGCCACAAGATAACTGGCCTTCAGTGCTTTCTCTGACACTTTTTACTCTTCATCATAACTTATTCTTGTTTTTCGTGTTGCCTTTTTAATCGATTAAAATATTCTGCGTCCTTGCTTACTAGTGATGGGTGATTTTTTGTCAGATGCCGTTTTAGTTTGCTTGGAACCATTGATTAATTTGACAGTTTGTCCCCACATACCAGACACAGAGGAAGAGGACATGATGGATCTCCGATGAAGGTGAAGCCATAAGACAAGTAATTGTCGATGTACTGTCTTTTCTTCTTTTTGCTGCTACTCTCAGCCACGCGCTCTGGACTGTTACATGAAGATGAAGTTGATGCTTCAGAAGAATCTGAAGCTTTTCTTTTAAGAAATCTGTCCATATTCTTTTACCATACACACGCATCTCACACGCTACTTGGATAAAACACAAGCATACGCTACGGCTACGCATACTGACGTTGACGTGCTGACAGGTCAGCGAGGGGTGTCGAGGAGGAGGCAATTATTATTATTATTTTTTATTAATGCATGTCTTATTTGTTATTATTTAAGGCATCAGATATTTATGATATATATTAAATGTGTTATACACATTTTAGCATGTTCGAAAAGTCTTAAGGATTTTTTACACGGCACCCCATGGTGCCGCGGCACCCCGGTTGGGAAACGCTGGTCTACTCTGCTGTTGCTTTAATTTAAGAACTGAACGGATCTAATATATAGGCACGCATCTGTTTTTCTCTCAACTGTTTACTTTTACTTTAGACATAACCATCTGTGTTTATATGTAAACCTTGTGTGTTTTGACAGTATTAGGGCAATCAGACTCTTAGTCCAGGAATCAGGCGCTGTTTGACAGGCTTTTTTAGTGTGCGTTAGATTCAGGTGTACACGCTCAGAAGAAGCACATGTCAGAACAGCACACGAATGAAATGTTTAACCGGCAATGCTTTAAAGCACATGCAAATAATGTACTTTTGTGATTGCAGTGCAGTGTCCCGTGAGTGTACCGCTACCGCCTAGTTAACATTTGATGTGAATGTATGTTACTTGCGTTATACAGTATTTTGAGACTGAGGCGCCAGAACTGCAACTGGTAGAATGTGCGCTGGAGCACGATACAATGAAATTTCTGCAAAAGCAGATCGTGGAGACATTTTAATCATTCACGATCTAAAATTGTTATATCGCACACCCCTATTTGGATATGACACTTATCGTGCATATTAAATGATTTCATAATATCAAGAGGCATGCACAATCAAATATTCTCCTTAGATATGAAGAGAAGACGCCTAATTTTCTAAAGCATCTATGCGTAAAATAAACACGCCTGTGTGTAGACATACATAGTACAAAAGCAAAACCTCAACAGCAACAGACACTGAACCATACAGCAACGTGGAAAGCTTATAGAAATATGCAGACCCATTCTAAAACTTCGATTCAGTGAACTGAAGTTTAAAAGAAACACTGAAATAAAAATGTAAAGAACTTAATGAACACATTTCAGACAAAAGAAAAACAAAACACCTATGTTTACGGACCGTTTCTCATCGCGTTTTCAAAAAGGCATCATTCTAACAGTACAGTATGTAAAACTTTCGTTAATTACTGAGAACCTCGGATGACTAGTAATTACATATGTGCAATGCACTGCAATTTTGGGGATTTTTTGTTATCTCTCATTTACCAAAATTATTAAAAAATAAACAATATCAAAACGTTTAGATGGATCTCCCATTGTGTTTCAGTTTGCAAGTATTGAAAACCAAATACCAAATAGTCTGTTCGTGTTTTTTTTATCACCAGCAGCTATCGAGAAATGCCGTTTTAAATTCCAAATCATAAAATTCAATTGACGTGATTATGCGATAGTTTTCACTAATACTTCTATACATTTTAATTGTCAATTACGATATGTGAGCGTGTGCTGCATGAGTACCATCCTCTCTCTCTTCTCCTTATCTTGCTCCAACGTAGACGCAACAACCTCAACAAACGTAAATGCTGATGCAGCACCATGGACAGCAACAGTAAAAAAGATACCCTGTGTCATTTTCCATACAACAAAGTATATAGGCCTATTACTAAACAGAATATTATTGGAATCGGAATTGGAATCTTTATATGCTAAATTCATAAAACCGAGACATTGATGAGAAAAAACAATAATATATATATATATATATATATATATATATATATATATATATATATATATATGTGTGTGTGTGTGTGTGTGTGTGTGTGTGTGTGTGTGTGTGTGTGCGTGTAAAACATAACGATGTGAGAATATACGAATATGTATGAAACACTTTTTAATGTAACTTCATTTCAGACCTTAGCGTATGAATGTAAATAAGTCACGTGATCATTTTCGAGAACAGAACCTGTCAAAACGATAAAATTAGAACACAATTTCACGTTGAATTAAGGCCATTAAATAATTGTAGAAAACAGAGCTCGTTCGTCCTACCTGAAACGAGTCGCTCATTTCCGCATCAAGCCCTTCAAGATCATCCAGAGTGGATTGAGTCTTTTTCAGAGTTAGGTCAGCAGTCAGTGTTCCCTCATTATAAGATCTGATGAACTTGAAGTCACTAGTGCGCGAGCCCGTGGTCAGGTATGCGTCATAATTGTAACTCACCTGTGCTCACAAGAGAATAATATTTTTGGATTGAAGGAACGAGTTTAAACGGGACGTTTTGCTGAATGGAGCAGCGCACCTGTCCGTTATTGTCAGAGTCTCTGTCCTGCACATTAATGATACCAACCTCTGTACCGGGCAACGCATTCTCAGGAACGGGACTGTTAAGAGAATTAATTACAATTACAGGGGCGTTATCATTGACATCAACGATATCTATTAATACAGAGCAATGACTGGCTGACCCCTGACCGTCTTTGGCTTGAATCGGCAGCTCAATTGAGCTTTCCTCTTCATAATCAATTGGCCCTGTTAGTTTAATCTCCCCAGACAACGAATCGAGAGAAAATATTTCCAGAAGGCGCTCGGACAAATGACCAAATTCATATGTCACTTCTCCATTTTGTCCCTCATCAGCATCAGTAGCGCTCACTGTCACCAATACAGTATCTACAGGAGAATTTTCAGGCAGACTTACTTTATAGATATCCTGACTAAAGACTGGAGCATTATCATTAGCATCCAGCACAGTGATGTGTATGGCTACAGTACCTGATCTCGGTGGAGTCCCTCCGTCTACCGCAGTGAGAATTAATGCCACCTCTTTCTGCTGCTCACGATCTAATTCTTTATTAAGAAGGAGTTCACCATATTTTCTTCCATTTGCACGAGTTAGTACATTAAGAACAAATTGGTCGTTGTTTTGAAGTGTATATGATTGTACTGAATTCATACCAATATCCGCATCGTGGGCCTCGTCTAATAAGTAACGAGAACCTTTGTCTGCTGATTCCTGTATTTCGAATTTTATTACACTTTGTTTGAACTGTGGCGAATTATCATTCATGTCTTCAATATTGAGAACGAAGCGGTGCAGCTCTAAAGGATTTTCCAGCACAAGCTCTTGTTTAAGAACGCATGAAGCTTTCTTTCCACAAATATCTTCTCTGTCGATTCTCTCCGCTACGGTCAGTTCTCCAGTATTCAGATTAATGTCACAGTATCGTTTTCTGTTACCTTCAGTATCAATTCGAGCCTTACGAGATGACAGTCTATTCACATCGAGTTCGAGATCCTTTGCTATATTTCCAATTACAGATCCACGTTTCATCTCCTCCGGGAAAGAATAGCTCACGTCTCCATAAGCGGTGTGCGCCATCAGCACGAAGAACAAAAGACCAAACATCTCAGCATTAACACAGAACCTTTGGAATTCTTCAGACATTAAGCAAAAATTTAATCCCGTAACCTAATGATTACCATGTACAAGAAAATAAGCATAAAATCAAGTTTACAATAGACGTAGATAATATCATGAAATCAATCGCCGTCGACGATTTTCTGTAAAAACATGAGCTGAAAGCCCCGTGTATGACATCACAAGCAGGGTGGAGAGAAGTGCACTGAAGACACACATTGTTTTTTCAGGTGAACAGCGACACTATGAGTTAAAAAAAGAAACTGCATAATGTTCATATTTCGGACAGGGTTATGTGTGGGCTATATACTGTAGTTAAAATCGTTTAGCGAAACAACAGCCGGCAGCAACATACCCTGATGAGTGGGAGATAAACACGACCACATTATTAATAGTATAGCCCCCCCCCCCTAAAAAAAAAGAAAAAAAT